ACTATTCACCAGAAATATTTTTAAAAGGTCTGGAAAATCCAGCATCAATCCAGATGGTTGGTGCGGTCGAATAAGCGTGTGTGGGTGCTATTGCACAGCACGTCTGAGTCCTGCCTTCCTGCGTATCGTAACAGTGCGCTGCACTTTGCTATCTACACTCATCTATGAGAATTTTTTAAGTAGAGTACGTATTGTCTTTAACAGGATACTTGAGGGTTTTAAGAAATGGGTAAAATTATTGTAAGAAGTAGGTAAACTTTAAAAAATGACTATGAAAAGAATACTTGTTCACTGAATATTGTACAGTAGTCTAATCAGATATGCTGTAGGCATAATGAGAGCTAAGACACTGCATATGTAAACAGGCTGGGGATGGCATGGTGGGGGACCTGGTGTTGCCACATTTGCCAGGTATATTTATTTATTAAATATTATATTCTCATATGATCAGCCTCTTATGGTGTGTGTCATCATAATTAATATAAAATCTTTAGAATATTTGTTCCCATGCTTGGAACAGAACTTTTCTCAGAACGCGCATAATGTAATCGCTCAGAAATTCATTCAGATCCCCAGAATGAAGAGATTTTTCATGGGTGGGGTACTTTGATTGACAGATAGTGTCGTGAAGAATATTTTTTTTTTATTAACTGAAGATATTTGTTTTAGCTCATAAAATTCATACAAATTACTCGGCCAGAATATAATTTACATTGCTGGAATTCTTAACAATATGATGATCATTTTGAATATAAACATCATGGATTTTGCATTAGACATACAAATTTTAGATCTAATGTAATAATTTGGTTTACACAAAGCAAGTATTTTATCTTTTGTGCAAAATATATGAAGTTTACATTCAAAATATTCCCTGACCTGCAAGGAATCCAGAAATGTCAATTATATTATCCTAACTTTAGTCTGAAGTATTATTTATTACTAAACGTTAAAATCTAGTGTTTCACCCAATCATTTCTCAGAGAGGTAGGGGCCAGTGAGCTGGGAAGAGGGGGGGGGGGATTTGAGTCTATTATTTGAATGGACATTAACCTGGTGACTGTATTTCTCTTAAATATTAATTGTGTGAGCATACCATCATAAAATTTAGATGTTATTTTTACTACAACATAGGTATTGTGTCGGAAAAAGTGGAGTTTGGGGGTCGGGCCAGTCTCTATTGGAATTAATCCCATATGTTCTGTTGTTCCATTTACGCGGATTTCACTTTCCGCGGTACCCTGTGGGTTCAATTGACCGCGTAAATCGGGGTACTACTGTGTGTGTGTGTATATATATATATATATATATATATATATATATATATATATATATATATATATATATATATATATATATATATATATATATATATATATATATATATATATATATATATATATATATATAATCCTGTTACAGGTATTAGAAAGTTCCAAGAATTGAATATTCCAGCTAGTGAAGAGATTACTGTCAAGGAAGGATGCATTTCTGACCTGGAATTTAAAGTACCTGTATATAAAAGCCTCAGACTGCAGATGGAAAAAGCTGTGGAAGATCAGATAAAATGAAAATAGTAGAAGCAATATAACGCAATTAATTTTTCTTGTGGTTAAAAGCATTAAACTGGGTCATCTGCAGCACCGGCCCAGCTTCAGTGACTCCACCATCAAGAGTCAACTTCTGAACTACTGTATTGTGGAATTAATTACTGTTAGCTCTCACATTTCCATTCAAGATACTGCGCAGTTTTTAGTTATGTTCCCAGATTCAGGTGTTGCAAGAAAATTCAATGTAAACAAAAAGGACAAGCAAAGTTATCTAACAATTTATCAACTACCTCTACACTTCATAGGAAAGTTGGAAGAACATGCAGCAAAAAATGTTCACTGTATTTCTATCTCTCATGTTCATGTCCTTTACAAGGTACATAAGTACAAAAAACTTAAATGGACAAACATAGTTGATTTTGGCTTACTGACTCTGGATGAATAATAACAAAGATTTATTGCATCAGTATTTCTGGAGTTTACAAAAGCAACTGATCTACTTCATCATCTTTATGCTGCGCTTAGTTCTGTTAAGACAAAATGTGTTGAGCATCTCTATGGGGGGTCTAAATGTAAATTGTCAAATGCTTAACTCAAACATGTCATAATACTAACAGTATTTTATGGAACTGCAATTGTAGAAAGAGGATTCTCTGTCAACAAGAATTGTCCGATTAATATACTGTACAGTAAATGAAGAATCTCTTCTTACAAAATGCACTGTTAAGGAAGAAATACAATTGGCAGGAGGCCCCAAATGTGATGATTACTCTCAGCAACTGATGTTGAGCTGCAGGAATGATTCCTCAAGAATAAAGCTGCAAAAGGGAAAAGATTGCTACAGAAACAAGAAACCAATAGGTCAGCATCTGTGAAGAGGAAGTTACAAAAGAAAATGGAAGAAGTGGAAGCAAAGAAAAGGAATAATGGTAATTCGGTGTTGAGTTGGGCCCAGAGTCAGTGGTTATCAATTTGTCTGCTGTCTTTGTTCTCTGTGAAAGATAGATCATAAATAAGGCTTAAAAGGCTTTGGAAAATACACAACTCATTATATAATATGTAAGATAGTAATGTAATTCCTGACAAATCTTAATTTGAAATTATGCATGTACAGAACAGTATGTAATTATATTCTACTTAAAAATAAAAAGGAAAATTTTGAAGGCATGTGCAGGAGTCTAGCATAATAATAAGCATCTATATTAATTTGTTTTCTTTCAATAGACTTTTAGACAGCTTTGGGGAGAGTTCCGAGTGGGTCTTAAATTTTTGTACTGCTATGTTTTATGAAAATATATCATGTATAGCTAACAGGCAATAGGAAATACACAGCTCATTATATCATATAATTTCTTGTAACAAAGCTTAAGGTGTACAGTACCTGGAATTCTGATAAAATTGGCCAAATTCACTATGCCAATCATACTTTAGTCCTCCAACTGCTCCTCAAACTATGCCTCAAGAGATTCCTTCAGCTCATCATCATCATGAAAGCAGCCCTCTCAGAGGTGGGACTTAAGGTTTCAAAACAGATAATAGTCACTTGGGGGCCTGATATGGGCTAGAGAAGAGTGTTTAATAAGCGGAAATCTACAGTTGTGAAAATTTATCTATGTTATATGAGATTTGTCAACAGGCACATTGCCATAGTGAAGCAACACACCTCTACTCAGCATTCTCAGTTGTTTCTCCCAGATGGAATCATGCAGTTTTTGCATTAAGTCAGTAGTGATCATTTTTCTATGTGGCAGGTTGTTAATGAGCAGAATCCCTATGGTATCCCAAATAATCAAGACCATGAACGTGCTGGCAGAGTCTTGACTTCTAAACTTCTTGGGGGTCAACTTTGACTTAACTAGTTAGAGTTCCAGTTGGGATGCAATCAATGCTCCCCACAATTCTTTTCCACCACCTCCCCAAGCCAACTGAGGGAATCAAAGATTTCATTTAATGCCATTCCTCCTCCCACAAGTAATGTGCAAGATTGACTAAAGGTATTGATTGTCTACTTATGAACCCATATTTATGGCAGGGGGCTTGTAAAAGTTGAAGGCTCTAGACTCTAGTTGATTTTCAATTCCTGCCCCATCAGCTCACTGGCCATAAGTGACCACTAAAACATCATTGCTCATATAGATTATTTTAGGTTCGTGATACATCTGGGCGAGTACTGTAACTGCTTTTACAGTAATGTCTGTTTATAATACTGTAATAGTACGTCCTGCTACTAAACATCATGCCATGACAAGGTGAACTTTGTTATAGGGGATTCTGTGTTATGGCAAAATTCCAAGTCCCTCATTTTTGCCATAAACTGTAATTCAGGTTTCGGTCCTCCATTTTTCTTTTTAATAATACTTCAAAACACTTCCCATAATATGGCATACTTAGATCATGAGTAAATATAGATTCTTCTGCCATTATTCATCCATTCTTATAACTGTAATGGGTATATTTCTGCTACAGCACTCCCCCTGCACAAACAGTCCCCAAACATCTATCTGACCACCTTAGTCAGTGTCACCCATCAGCAGTATTTATACATCTAAAACTCACTTGATATGTTTCCCTCACTTCTAATGTATCATTCTAGCTCCTGAGTTTTCCCCTCTTCCAATTACCAGTAAAACTTTTACCATTCTTCCACTTCCTAATCACTCAGTACAGTATATACATTCCATATGAGAAAACCCTCATCCACTCTGCCCAACTCTTTCACTCCTTGTTTTTATAGCTCTTACTCTGTGGATCATATTTACCCCAAATGCTCCCTGGTACATTTCTGAGGTCCTGTAATTTTTTTTTCCTTACCGGTATGCATCAAGTGTCCATGCTTCACACCCTCATAATTATGTTGGCTAATTGACTCCAGACACGAATTTCTTTCTCCATCCATTTCTCAACACACTTATTACTTTCTTTCCTACCATTACCTTAATTCAATTCAATACTCATTGTCACATATATTGTACGAAGAAATCCTTTCTCGGAGATCAAAAATACTTAACTTCATTGGAACTAACATTCTTTTCTACCCTTTCCCTCTATACTTTACTCTTGTTCACATTTACTATTAACTTCTAATATACCCTTCCTTCATTACACAATCATTCCAAATCCCCCTGTTTCATACCTGTCCCCCCCCCCCAAAAATACCCCTAATGATTCACTTTCTTTGGTTGCTATACATTTCTCATGTAGAACAGTACATAAAATATTATCACTTATAAATTTACTGTACTGTACCACTACAATAAGATCTGAGGGTTGGCGCTGCAGCAGCTGCAAAATCTGCACTAAGGTAAAATTTTGCAGATTGTTTCAATCACTGCTGCCTGGTCTAAAGGTGTGTAGCATCTGACCAAACTCGTGGGAAGATTACAATTACATTCTGATCTCAAAATGGGATCACACTCATTGGTTATGGATATACAAGAGAAAATCTTTCTGTAATATAGTGACAGCAGAAGCCATCTATTTATTTATTCAATGATGAATGAATACTGCTCAACTGTGTGACAGCCAAATCAGAACATTTTGAAGGTTACTCACTATTTTCCATCACTGGGAATGTACACTATGTGCAGTTTTTTTGCACTGACTGCACAAAATACTTAAATGACTTTAATACATAAAGCTGGTTATTGGATATACATGGAAGAATTTTATATCTTGTTAAAAAACGTCAAATCTTGTGCCAATTAAAACTATTCTTCATTATTTAAAATTATATTAGCAAAGATCTGTTTGTACAGTAACTAAACACATGTTAGGAAAAGATATTAAATCAAATAAAACCTAACCTGTGTCCTTCTGTGTTTCCAGGAAAAGCTGGTCGATTTGCAACCTACAAATTTGACTAATATTAGGTACCAGACCTTCATTTCTATGATTCACATGTCTTCCAGTCTTGGCCGTTTATGAGGTTCATGTTTTTCAGCGTCTTCCTCATCGGTGTTGGTACACTGACGCTTGAGTGGTGACAGTGCACTAGCGTTTAATTTGTCCAGTTCTAATTTATTTCTATGGAGAGATGATATTTGTGGTATCACTGTTACACTTTGCTCAACACTGATTGCACTACAGCTTTCTCTCCCTTTGTTCTCTGAATCCTTTAATGCTGCTGCACCTGGTGAATCATAGCACTTACTACTGATTATTGCATTACATAATTTATCATCTGATTTTGGTCTTCCAGTATCTTCTGTATCTTCACCTTTCATATAGTCTTTTTCAGTCACAGTGCTGGCAGAAGAAATAGTTCTTCTCTTTTCAGATCCATCTGTTGACTCCGAGTTTACCGTCTTATCTAATTCTTTTGTTAAAGCTGCATCTGAAACTTTATAACAACTTACATATGACTTGCAGTTATTGGTAGAGTGAACAACAGGTGGGATCTCACTGTAATCTGTTACTTTGTTTTTGTCCTTAACCTTACTTACTGATGAATAAGGCAGTTCACATATTCTAGTGACACTTTGTGTATCATTAGAGGAATGTGTCAAACAGCTACTTACTTCACTTTCCCTTATAATTCTAGTATCACAGATATGCTTATCTTCATTTCCAATACCAGAGTCTTTCCATCTCTCTGACGTTTCTTTGTCTTCCGTATCTTCAAGTCCTCGGCAATCAGGTACTTTTACGGTGGGTTCTGACACTTTTGTGTTTTGCTCCAAATGTTTGCACTGTTTTTCCATCTGTTTACTTAAAGTCTTAATTTCCAGGTTATGCTGATCACTGTTTCCTGTTACTTGTGCTGGAGCTTCTTTCACTAAACTCGTAATGACTGGCAAGGTTTTCTCTCTACTTTTTTTATTCTGGTCAGTTTCCTGTACAAAAACATTGTCTTCACTAGTTTCTACTGTATAACTTATACTTACTTCCTTTACCTGTGCATTTCTTCTTTCACACTGCTCATCCGGCTTAATACTTTGATTTTCTTCAGATTTTTTCTTGGAGCTCATGTCTTTAGACTTACTTTCTTCTGCTGGGCTGGACTTGCTGCTTCCTCCAGCCTGTAAAGTTTCAGAAAATTCATAATTACTAAAACCATAATCCAGCCACACCCATCATAATTTAAATCTACTCATTTAGCACAGAATAGTTCATAAGTTTACCAACATAATTCAGTGCTTACACATATTGTAACTCCTACATGGTATTAATTACAGTGAGTTCTGCTATAACGCGTGTTTTGATAACGCGAATTTGCTCTAACGCGATTTATGAATTAGGAACGATATTTGTATAACGCGAACGCTTGTTTGCTATAACGCGATTTTTGCTTACTATTTCTCCAATTTTGTGGTACAGTGGGGTATGCTATAACGAATCTAATTGGTTCTAGAACCTTGTTCGTTATAGCATTCGTTCGTTATAGGATTAATCCGTTCCAGGCCCCCAAATACAACCACTTAACACTGAAAAATATAATATAAAATTGTAAAAATTGTAAAAAAGTGCATAAATATGCATCTAAACCCCTGAAATAAAGAATATCATTAATATTTGTAATAAAAAAAACAATAAATTAGAAAAAAAAAATTAAATAATGTTCGTTGTAGGAGTTTCGTTCGTTATAGCATTCTCAATTTTATAGGTAAAACCGTTCGTTATAGGAATATTCGTAGTAGGATCCGTTCGTTATAGCATACCCCACTGTATTAACTGTGAAAATAGTAAAGAAGAATATCAACAAGAAGCGCTCTGGTGATAGAATTCCCGGTGATGATCGTAAAAGAAAGGCTATAACACTTGAAGAGAAGCTCGATTTTATCAACCTCAAAATCACCCTTCTCCCCCATCAAGTAAAGTGTTACATTTACTGTATGATTTCATTATTAGATATGAATGTAACATTTATTTAGACTGTGCTATCCTTTGTGTTAGGCTAACTACTAAATGTTTTCGATTTCGAGTAATCTGCACCTAACCCTATTTTCTCCATAAGCCCTGTTATTTCTATAACACGATATTTTACAAGAACACAATTATCGTGTTATAGCAGAACTACCTGTATTACTAATTTCTTCACTTGAGGGAGAGGAATAAGTTGTAACATAAATCTCAATTATAAAATTACATGTTAGTTTCCTATTTGCTCAGCCCTACACAGTAGTTTTTGCTTTTCATTACATCATTTAAAAATTATTTATCCCTTTTTATGTTATTCAATAGCCTCTAAAATATAGCCTTTGTTCTCCTGTTCATTATTATACGTACTTTCCATACAGTACACTACCATACCTCTTGACAGAGCCTTGGCCAACAGATTTTCATTAACTGACAAAAAAAAAAATATTAATTTAATAAATACAGTATACAGTACTGGATTATATTAATTATAGTTTCATTCAAACATTATTGAAAAAGAATCCACTTTAAAGTCTGCCACCATCTTTGTTGTTTACTTCCTCTACACCAGTCTGGCATTGTCTCAATATGTATACAGTAGCCCGGCAAGATTCATGTCCATTGTATCGCAGTAGGTCTCTTCGTATCTTCACTATCTACATGTGTTTTGTGAACATTTTATGCCCATTATGTCCAGCTACCGAGTGTGTTGGTATACATGCCAGGGTACCCAGGAAAGTCATTACAGTACTATGTACGTGAAAATGAGAGTGATACGAAGGGTTGAGGCAGGTGAGCATCAGGTCGATGATGGTCGGTCGCTTGGTTTGACTTCCTCCACAATTAAAACCATACGCATTAACAGCAAGCTCATAAAAAATTAATTGGCGAGTGTTATTAAATCTTGTTTCATTTATTATTGATGTTAACAAAGTCTTCACTTGAATGTAAAAGTTAAGCATTGTCACCTCACTAAAGCCATTTTATTTTTGTTGCCGCTTAATGTTTACTTTTTGTATAGAGATAGCGGTGGAAAATCAGGTATCGTTACGTAACAAACCGTTTACTAATGTATATGACCAATTTGGGGACATTTAGTCATTCTATAAGATAATAGCAGTATTTTAAGGGATTTATTTATCACCTTCACTTATTTCACTAATAGCAAGATCCCATGGCCTCTTTTAATGGTTATACTGTACTGCTTAGCGGACCAACCGCAAGAACGTATCTCATCCATTTTAAGAGGTATGAGAGTACTGTACAACCTCTATACATCAGAATTTGCTCTCTTTGGACTCTCTGATATGCCCTGGATCACCCCTCTATTCACAAGAAATATTTTTAAAAAATACAGAAAATCCAGCAGCAGTCCAGACGTTTTGTGTTCATAAGTGTGGTTAAACGTCTTTGAGTGGGTGTTGCACTGCACATGTCTCCGTCTGAGTCCTGCCTTCACACGTATCGTATCAGTGCGCTGCACCTCGCTACCTACACTTTTTACGTAGATCACATATGGAGATAATTGAGGGAGTTTAAGAATTGGGTAAAGCATTTATTTAAAGAAATTGGTAAAATTATGTAGAATAACTATTATAATAAATAGGTAAACCTAAAAAAAAATTATGAAAAGTACAGTGATTGTTCACTGAATATTGTACAGTAGTGTAATCAGATATGGTGCAATACTAATGGCGGCCTGTGGTGTAATGGTCTGCATCCTCGCCTCGCAAGCGAGCAGACCCGAGTTCGATCCTCGGGCAGGGTGAAACTATGGGCCAGTTTCTTTACGCCATTTTCCTCTGTCTACCCAGCAGTAATTGGGAACCTGAATGTTAATCGATTTGAGGATCATATTCCGGGGTAATGGTTAGCCAGTGCAGTTGGCGAGCTGTCCGGTCTTCTCGGACTATTCCGTGGTAATGGTTAGCCAGTGCAGTTGGCGAGCTGTCCGGTCTTCCCGGACTACTCCGTGACACTGGGTCATGCAGCTCGTTAACTTAGGGTGTGGTTGTTGTGCTGGCGACAGCTTCTACACCTTTACAAATTCACGCTTAGGAGGCCCTTTGGCCGACCATCCTCGATTTCGAAGGGCTTCCATTGTTATTATTGTAATGAGCTTCTATAGCTATATTGAAAAATTAGTTGTACAGTATTGTATTATTATTATTAGCTGGAGCATTATCCAGTCATTATAATTTTATAAACCTAACTGCAACTTACCTTTGTGTAAATAATGATTGGCCTCTGGAAACCACGAGAAGCATGGTGAGGTGTTGTAGTCTTTTCACTTGTGCCGAAGCCCACTTCATGCAGTAAGAAATCATTGAATTTGTCGGGGAACAGTCGAATGTTCTTGTAATTTTCAAAAATTCGCTTCTGCAATAAATGATAATTTTATTTTAATAATACTGTAATAATAAAACTAAAAATAATAACGGATTGATTTTGAAATCCCAATTCAGAAGAGTCTGGACTAGGCTGTTTGTTTATTATATCCTGTCAAGTTACAGGGTTAAAAACCAGGAAATCCCTAATTACTGTATTAACAACTGGCCCAAATTCAAGATTACTTCTGCCTTTCAGCCACAACCAGACTCTTAAGCAAGATATATTAATACTAAAATCTCATTCTATAACTGAGCCAGAATTATGCAATTAAATACAGGGTACTGTATAGCCATCAACTCTAAGACCATACCTTGTGTGACTGTGATCTAAGCACAATATAAATTTGAACATTAGACTACCAGATAATCTTCTTCTTCACTTTAAAATTAAATCTATAAGTATAATCCTTAGCATGAAGCTAACATAAAATGGAAGATTCCTGACACTCTTTGCTGCTGAGAATAACTATACAACTTCAATTTGTTTCGCTCACCCTAACCCAAAGGGAGAAGGAAGAATTCTAAGTTGCTCAATCCCAGCTCAGTTATAAAATGGGTTTTAAAGATAATTCCATAACTTATTATGTTATGCCAGGACTGAGCAACTTTGTATTAAAACCATCTATGAAAATGGAGGTATAAGGCACCAAAAACCTCCATGGACTATACTATGCTTAGCTTGCACCCCTGATGGAAGTGATCCCATTAAACTGATCTATACGTAGTTGGTTCTAGCGCAGAAAATAATGGGAAAATCTTTATGCTGCCTGTGGCTACAGTTACCGGTAACTCCATCCTCTTTCAAAGATGGGTAGAGGAACCTCTCAACTTGTGAGATAGCTATGTTCTTGAAGATTGTCGTGTATATAAAAAAAAAATAATGTAAATATTGTATTGGAGATTATGGGCTTTATTATCGATAAGACAGTACCCAATATAATACAATACCAGTGAAAAACTACAGTAAGTAAAGGTATACACAGTGGTGGCAGAACAGCTAAACGAAAAGTTAGCTAAGCTAACCGCTCATCTGCTAACTAAAAAATTTACTTCCCTAATGCTAAACCGTTAAACAGCTAAAAATTTTGCGGAAGCTAACGCTAACCGCTAACTTTTATTATATGAATTTAGCTTCATTTTTGGGGGCGCTCTAAAACCCTTAAAAACAGACCTAGAGAGCTGAAATTTTCATATGTTGTCTTGTAGCTTAGACACAAAGCTTTCCAAGAAGGTATAGCATGCCAAGATCAGATGATGATCAAGGTGTACACAAATAATTAAATGAACAAATGAAATTAAACATTAGTTTACATTCAAGTTTCAACATACTCTTTATTTACTGTACGAAAAGACAGAAAGTATTAAACGAAGCCAAAAACTATAGTACTGTATAGCATGGGTAGCAAATAGCATCATGCCAAGATCAGATGATGATCAACTTATCAAGGTGTACACTGTACACAATTTCACAAATAATTAATTTGCATTCTCATACAACCTATCGGCCTTATTCATTATTCATGTAAATATGCAATACCAACCACATACACATTATACCAGTGCATTTTAATATAACTTATTGTTGGTCTTAGTCATTATACCAGTGCATTTTTATATAACTTATTGTTGGTCTTAGTCATTATACCAGTGCATTTTTATATAACTTATTGTTGGTCTTAGTCATTATACCAGTGCATTTTTATATAACTTATTGTTGGTCTTAGTCATTATACCAGTGCATTTTTATATAACTTATTGTTAGTCTTAGTCATGTAAATAAACAGAAAACTCTAAACTTTAATGAAAAGTAAGTTTTTAGAAAATTTTGTTTGGCGCACACCTTGGATGACATCCTGGTATGATCTTATGCAGTCCTTAGCAAACCAAATATATTGACAAAAAAAAATCCTACTTAAATTAACAAATAAATGAGAAATTAAATTATACATTAGTTTACAATTATGATTCTTTCAACATACACTGACAGTCTTTATTTACTGTAAAAAAAAAAGTATGCTTTAATAATCGAAAAATTCCGTTCGCTCAGCTGCTGCAGCGAGGCGTCGAAAAATCATGTCTTGTCACATTTACACGTACAGTACTAACACGCAGTCACCAAGCGTGCATGACTGGCTGTTGGAGACACGTGTTGCGGAGTCACACGCTTACAACAGACAGGAACAAACATGTATAAATTTTGTTAGCGGACTTAAAGTTAGCGGAAGCTAATTGGTCCGCTAATGGTTTCCAAAGTTAGCGAAAACGCTAATCCGCTAACGAGAAAGTTAGCTTCGCTAATTAGTGGTTAGCGGAACCGTGCCCACCAATGGGTATACACATACCAGGAAAAATAAAACACTCCTGTATTACAACGAGCTTTTGCTTGTATCAAAAGCATGCTGATGGAAATATTTCTGTGAGTTTACTGTTACAGTACAGTCTCTCCTCGACTTACGACGGGGTTCCGTCCCGACGACCAGGTCGTAAGGCGAAAATAATACATAGAAATTCTAAAATGGGTCTCTTTTTTTTTCTCAGCACCACGAGAACTCTCACTTTTACGCTTGCCAGCCATTTTAAAGGGAATTACAAAAAAATTAAAATTTCAGTACACAGCGCGATCACTAACATCGGGACTCGAAAATATGGTGTTTGTAAATTAATTAAAACTAATTTAACTGACTTCGGCATCGACATCTCTCATTTTTTTTATAAAACAATGGAGTCCCCATCAGTATATTGTATCAAAATATTTTGATTAAGGATCTATTATTGGCACTGTCTTGTAAAGAATTTATTCAGTATCATTATGGTACCAAATTCATTTCTCTACCACAATTATAACAGATGCTGTGAATAAAAGTTAATACACTTTTTCACTAGCCATAAATATATTTAATGGCAGCCTGTATTTTTGTGGCAGACATCCTTATGACTACTGTTACACATACAGAGGGTCCCCGTGTTATGAACGGGTCCCATTCCTGAGGACTTTCTTAAGTTGGATTTGTACATAAGTCAGAAAACATGCTACGTGCACATCTTACTTACAGTACATTGTTTAAAATCCCACTATGTCATAGCTTAAGTCCTTATATACATCTAAAATCACTTAATTTAAGACAAAAGAAGAAATAGAATGACAAAATACAATAAATGAAAGTAAAAATAAGTCATCAGGTAAATAAAATACTATAAATTTCAAGTTTAACCCCATTTGTATTGACGGGTGTTCGTAAGTTGGACTTTATAAATCAGGGACCCCCTGTACATGGTTGAGTAAAAAATAAATAAAAAATTCAGATGTGAGTTTCAATAATAATACATTACCGTAAGCTTCCTTCGCTTATTGTATGATGGCCAGCCCTGAGGTTCAAGAATAAATCTACCTCCAGGCTTGAGATTGTGAAAGACGCGACGAAAGAATCTCTTGAGGCCAGAGTCTCCCCAGTTCAGATGAACCCATTTAGTAATGCTGAGGCACAGGATCATGTCAAACTCTGGCCGCACTGTCTCCAGCAACTCGTCAGATTCCAAAACATAATTGGCCTGTAACAGTATAATGAGATAATTAAATTATAAAAAACATGATACTGAAATGCTACAATGCCTCTATTTAATGCGTCTTTATAGCCATTATTGCGAAGAGAGGATAAAATTAACTTTTAATTAGTAAGAGCTGAGAGTTGAGGCTGATCCTGAACTGCAAACTGTAAAACCAATGTACAGTATATATTACACTACTCTTTTTAAATTGATATAGATCTATTAAAGAATGTAATCCAAGAGTAGGCTGATTTTTTAATACACAAGAGATTAAAGAAATTCTTTGTCCACTTAGAAACACATTTACACTAAACATGAAATATAAAAAATTTACTAATAAAATTTTCCACTTACATGAACGAACTTGACATTATGCGGAAAAGTTCGACTTCCATCAGCCCTGACAGGTGGCTTCAATGGTCCATAAAGAAGCCTCATTGACTTTGGGAAGTTTGCTTCTTGTGTATCACCTTTACGAAGGTAGTGCTTGATGTTTTTCTCAGCGATACTGACAAGTTTTTTATCAATATCAATACCAACAACTCTCTTAGGGTTGTAGTCTCTGGCAACGGTAAGTGTAACATGGCCAATATTACAACCAATGTCTAATACTTCTTTCCCCTCGAACCATTCTCGCTTCAGGTATTCGAGTCGTACATCTGGTGTCTGATCGGGATTTCTATAACCATAATATTTATTATAATTTCCATACTGAAACAGTTCATTCTTGGGATTAAACTTCTTTGGGGGCTGTAGGTTCTGCTGACTCAAATGTGGCTTCTCTGCATAATGTCTGGAATGACTGGGGTGTCTTTTACGCTCTCCACCTGGCTGAGGAATGACTGGACTGACAATCTTGTTTTCTGACTTGCTCCGCTGCTTCTTAAATACTGGACGCTGTATCCCACTTGTTGAAGGTTTCGTTCCAGTAGGTGTAACAGGTCCTTCCCTACAAAAAAGTCTCAATTTAAGTACAGTACAAGTAATCTAGACTTATTCATTGGTAACCAATGCAGAATTATGGCACTCACCCAACACCTTACCTTCCGCATTAAAAATTTAGTAGAGCTTTTCATTTAAAGGTACTGCATAGCTTTTCCTATGTACATATTACATTTGAGGCGCTTGGTGAAACATTGACAAAGGGGCAAAACTCATGTTTTGAGATAATCAAGGTTAAAGTTACCTACAAGATAATAAATTCAATTTCAAAATGATGATGATGATGACAGATCTTCAACTTTATTTTATTTATTTATTTATTTTTTTACAGCGAATAGCCCAGGTCATCAACCCGCATCGGGGCCTAGAGGGCAAAAAAAGAAATTAAAAATAGAAAAGAGAGAGATTAAATTAATCTACATTACAAAGATGCCGGAAAACCATATTTTTAAAGTGAGACAGATTGTATGAGTATGGAAACACAGAAGAAGGCAGAGCATTCCACAATTTGACTGTGTGAGGAAAGAAAGATGTACTATAACGGGTTATTCTAGTGTGACGGACATCCACACAGAAACGGTGGGCGCCGCGGGCAAGACGAGTGTTACGAGCCCACGGCCTTGCCGGCGGTACACAGGATGCCAAATCCACTGAACATTGCCCGTTAAAGAGAGAGTGAAGCAACATTGTGGTGAAGAGAAAGGGAAGAAAGATTATCAACTAAAGGAGGAGAGTTAATAAGACGAAATGTCTTTGATTCCACCCTATCTAACAGTTGGACAGAAGAAGAGCCACCCCAGATATGAGAGCAGTACTCCAAGTTAGGACGAATGAATCCCTTATATACTTGAAGCACATGCTCAGGAGTGAAGTAGCTATGGCATCTGTACAGCATTCCCAGCTTTCGGGAGGCAACTTTAGTAATGTTGAAGATGAAATTTACTATCAATACAAGGTAGTGAAGTACCAGTTTATGCTGTTGCTCTTAAATTTGATAGTTATTTAACCAATGTATCCAGTTCAGACAGAATAGAAGAGTAATTCTGCTGACATTTTGTGACATTGTTTTTTGCTTTAGATTAAGATAAACAGTTAGTTACACTGTTACAGCTTTAGTTCCTGACTTGCCAGCATGGCTTATTGCTTTCACTAATTCATTCAATACAGTGCAGCATACAGTATTAAGTAAAAATAAAACAATACACATTTGTAAAATTCCAAATAAGAAGTCAAGATCATAACTAGACTGTTACAGATACGTCAAACCAATGTACACAGTGCAGCAGGCTGGCAAGGTCCTCGCCAGCCTGCCACACACCATGAAATATTGAGAACCCTTCTGATACATGAAAATGTTTTACCTATCTAGTTTACCCTGAACCAATAAATGGCTATGATTAGGTGGGGGTTTACTGTAATAGTTATTCCAGTACAATACTTACTTCCGTCCATCAATTGCTCCTTGTGGTGTACTTAAATCTGTATTGACTGTAAGGGGCTTCATGGCATCTAGAGAAATTTGTCTAGCCAGTTCTGTATTTGTTAAGCTATTTGTCTCCAAGGTAGGAGTCTCTTCTGTGTCAACTTCTCCAATGCCATGAAGAATCATACTGTCAGCGGTACTACCACTTGGTTCTGACAGTCGCCGTTTCCTTTTCTGGGGAAAACAAGGAAGAAAATTCAATTACGGTCACTTGAAACTAGAAATGGTACAAGACCTAACAAATACACAAATGACTTATTAAACGAATTCACGTGTCTAAGTCTTTTTTAACAACATAAAGCCTACCCCAAAATTACCCTAATTACATTTTATAAATTTTTCCCTTCAGTTTCAAATTGTACAGTTTTGGACAAAAAGAATTTGGTAGAGAGAGAGAGAGAGAGAGAGAGAGAGAGAGAGAGATATTGAGACATGACAATGTCACACTGGGATGGCAGTAAAAAATCTCCTCAAGCAATAAAATTTTTATGGAATTTTTTGGGTTGTTTTGGTGCATTAAATTATTTACAGCACATGTTAGTGTGAGCAGTGCTTCACTCATAACTAAACTAGAAAAAAAATTAATTTGAGACGTAGGAAAAAAAAAAAAAATTAACCACCACCTCCAGGCAACGCCGCCAAGTTTCCACCCACCCCTACCCTTCTGAATTCTTTTGTCCACAACTGAACATTCTCAAATTCCCCTATAAAGTCATTTACCCATGTCGGGGCATAATTATGTACTCAAAAGTAGATGCAGTCAAACAAAACATCTGCTCTAACATTTAACGTTCCATTAAATTGCAGTCATGAGCATTCATTTTATCCTGTCACAGCATAAGTACAGTACCATATAAATCGGTCCCATACTGTATATAGTTCGACCACCACAACAGCTGATGCTATGAATAGTGTTATTAGCTCTGAAACTGAATTACATGTACTGCCAGTTACCAACTCCTATTGATAAATTTTGCTAGATTCACCCCAAAAGTAGCTTTAACTAAACACTATAAAATAAAAACTTAACTGTAGGCATATAAACAGCAATGATGAGAGCATAGAAAAAATATAAATTATATTAGTGTACATATTGTTTAAGTCTCAGGGACGTTCACCACAGCTGGGACGCTGCCTCCCCTCGGTGCTCAGTTCCGTGGAAGGTGTGCAGTATATTAATGGTGGAATATGCCTTTAAAACTCTCCTCAATTGATATTAATTTCTAAGGATATTATTATACTTTATGAATAAACTTTAACCCTCTCATGCATCATAATGCAAAATGAGTCAAATCATTGGGTAACACTATTTGCATTGGTGATGCGAATTGTGTCATTAAACTTTAACAAATCCGCCTCCCCAAAATAGAAGTTTTCAAGTTAATTGCGTAAAATATTTGTGCATCATAGATGATCGTGTGAGGGAAGCTTCCAGAAAGCACCAAAGCATGGGTGGAGTTCCACTAACCATCAATTTCCTCCCACTAGCCATGATGGTAGGAGCATTTCTCTATTTCCCCTTTATTATCACTAAGGCTTACCCTGTTTCGTCTCCTGCGACGAATTTGCTTCTGTAAGTCCTCATTATCTGACGATGCATCCAAGTTCAGCGGGTCATTGATATTTGGTGCGATGATAACTCTAACAGCATCTGAGCGTTTGGACACAGCAGAACCAGTTGATTCCAGAACACCTGACCTGTTTAAAGACTAATTTTTACTTTGTCCTCTAGAAATGGAAGAATTTTAAGGATACTGTTCTAGTGAGGGTAACTGAGGTGTGGGTACAAGAGAATAAAAATGGAAATAAGAAAGAAAGAAATAAAGAAAGATGGGACAAGATGAAGGCAGTGATATGTAAGAAGGGAGGAGTACTGTATAGATGAGAATGGGAGTAAACAAAACAATAAAGGATAAACAAGAAGAGCAAATTGAACATGTTGTCAGTTATGGATGGGATAATAGCAAGTTTTACAGTGTTATAGAATTTGGGGAAGGGATTTCAGAAAATTTAAAGAGAGTTGAGGTCTTTGAAGTGGAAGAGAAACTCTTTAACCCTTTAGCTGCAGGATGTTTCACTAAGCTGAATAAACTCATCTGACAGCACCCAAAATAAAATTGTAAAGTGCAGGAATCACAATAAACTCATCTGACAGCACCCAAAATAAAATTGTAAAGTGCAGGAATCACAACGAAAGGGTTACAGTATCAGGAACAATTCTAGTCTCAATTTTTATAACAAGAGAAGTAAACAAACCAGAAACTTTGTTGGCAAATGTGTACAGTTTATTCACTCTTGCATGCCATTTACCACTACAGCATTAGGGGGTCAGTCAAGAGCTAAAACACGCACTCATTTTCATTCATTCTTCTATCAGCAAAAAAACAGAAGTACTTCATCATACTTGCAGTGTAAACTTACGGTGCAATTTCTTCCTTGTCCAGGGAACCAAGATTAAGAGGGTCTGTAATATTCCCACCAAGGAGAAACTTAGAAGGCAAAACTCTGCCCCTCTTGCGTCGTTTGTTCCCGAATCGAAATTCCCCAGCAGAGGAGAAACTGATAGATCTCTTTCGTTTTGGTCGGAAGTCAGGAACAGGCCGAAGTTTTCTGAGATGTGAAAAAAAATAATAAAATTAATGCACAGGATGCAGAGAACAATACAGAAAAATAAATTGATATGGAAATATGGTAAGTGCTGGGAAAAGAATGGAATGAAGTTTGCTCAAGAGGTACAAATTTAACTATAGAATGGAAAGTGAAAGATTCATAAAAGGATTGTATGGTAAAAAGGTGGGTGGCAGGTAGGAAGACCATAAAGAAAATGATGATAATAATAGTTGTTTTATTTCTCAAATGTGTAAATTCTCTTTAACTGAAAAGCTTCACTAGCACTCAACGTACCATAACAATAATCTTTAACCTCCAGCCATCGGTTTCCATCATATGACATATGCTTACTGGGCTTTGGTTTTCATCTTATGATGTACTGCAGGTATTATTATTTTACGTTACTACAGTAATTGAATCGCCAGTAGAAATTATTCACCACCCAGACCTAGCTAGATTATGTTGCCAAGTAGGTATTTATCTTTCACTTGCTCATGCATGCGAGCCTCCCAGTCTCCCTCGTTAGTAGCATCTCAGATTTTGTGATGAAGGAATCTCGTCCTTCGACTTTACGTGTTTGGCCATGTGATTCTACTTCCAGGCACAAGCATTGTAGGGGTCTTGGCCATCAGCAGATTCATGGTCAATTACTGGATGCAGTAATAATAATTGTAAATTGTGTAAATACTAATAACATAATAACACAAGTGTTGTGTACATCGTACAGTAATATCTCCGTTAGCCGGATTCTTCAATACCCGGAATTTTTTTTTAACATCGAGACAACTATGCATGCATGCAGACAATTTTATTAATAAAAAATACAACAAATATACAAACAAATTACTATATAGCTGTTATGATCAGTGTTGACCCTTTAAAGGTGGCTGACAGCATGTAAGACTTCAACTTTTCTTGTTTACACACATGGGGTCTAGTTATGAAGTGAACCAGCTGCATAGAGTTTAAGAACCATGTGACTTCAGTCAATGAAAAAGGAAAGCTAAAAGACACAATGGAAGGTGTGAATGAAGAAGTTCAGTATAATAAGAGTTGCATATTTCAAAAGATCCCAATGTTTGTATGTCAAGTTTTAATTATGTATGGCAGCAAACTGAACATTTACTATCTATCGTACTGTACAGTAAAATACATCTTTTCAACTTAAGATTCAGCGAAATATTACCTTGGGCTAGGAGTCGTAGACACCTGAGACTGTCGACCACTGACCAGGCGTGACCCGTCCACATCACTGAAGTGAACTCGACGTTCTACCTGTGATTCGGGTAAAGCGAGGGTCCTCGGCCGCTCTACACCCAGCTCAGATGACATCTTCACTAGATCACCTATCAAAAAAAAATTAAATAAATTCAAGAACATCGCAGAAGCAAGTAAATACAGTACTGTACAGGAAGTCCCCAACTTATGAATGGGTTACGTTCATGGACCTTATTTGCGAGTAGATCTGTTCGTAACTCGGAAGTATTAATTCCACGGGTTAAGCTAGGGTAAAACACAAATCTACCCATAAATAATAATAATTTATTATGCCCAGCTTCATTTCAAGCATTATAGTATAGGCCTCTTCTTGGCTGGTGTACCATCATGCTTACATATACCAGCCATGATGAGGGTTCATAAATTTGGAACAAATCAGAGCAAGAAAGTTTCAAGACACACAAAATGACAATGGCCAGAGGACTATTTGTTGTTGCTGCCGGGACACAGAACACCCAAACACAGGCAGAGGCCAACCGCTGAATGAAGTAGCACCTCGTTCATTAGCACCCGCAAAAGCTCATAGGCCAGTACAGACTTTTATTAACAATACAGAATAATGGATAATGTTCCTAAGTACAGTTTTTCATACATCGGGGACTTACTGTATTCACTTGTATCTAAGCAGTGTTATAACGTCACACCACAAACACAGGAACCTCTGCTATGTACTATACAGTACATATAAAATGTGAGTCAAGTTAGTTTAAATTAAATTTTACCTTTTTCTCTCACCTGGTTTGCATTTCAGGCATTAAAGAATTCATTAAGTAATGGAGAAGAATAGAGTACCAACCCTCCCTTTAATATTAAGGCTTTTGCCATCCAACTCAAGTGTAGGAATCAATTTAAGGAAATTTTCTATAGAAGACTTGTTCCTTGCCTCACGAATAGAAAGCAATAGGTGGATGAATTGTATTTTTCTTTCTTTTGGTTGTCTGATGTTTTCATTCTCGACACACTTTTCTGCAATGTGGGAGCTATCAGGGAAGCCGCCATTACTTGTTGATGTGCATGCCAAGAGCCAAAAGTTGCAAAGACATTAACTCTTCTGTTAAATAAACATAAAATGTCGGCAGAGATTTATATTATTTATATACCGGTATTAATAATATTAAAAAATAATATGCAGGAATATAACAAAAAATAAAGATTCATGGCAATTTTTGTACAGTATTTTTAGTTCATCAATTTTGCCTTAGAATCATGTCTTAGGTAATTTTGTATAAGTTACCACCCACCAAATCTCAAGAATTTTAGCTTTGCAATCAGCAGTTCAGACAATTCTAAGAAACTTTTTATCTATAAACGTTTCCCTCACATATGACCTCACCTCCTTACCAAGGGCCTCCGCCCTGCTGCACCACCCTACATATACAGGTACGTACGTCATTTGCGAGGGAAATGTCATAGAAGGAGTGTCATAAATTGTCTGCAAAGATAAAATTCTTGACATCTGGTTGATGGCAACTTAAACAGTAATACCTTATCATATATAAACAGCATAGACTTTTCTCCCCCAAAGTAGTCTAAGCAGCACCACCACTGTACTATATTCACTCCCTAGCAAAAAATAAGGGAAAACCAATTACTATATAGAAAAGTTGCATTTCCTTCACACATTTCTTTCTATTCACGAACAAAAGCATCAACCAGTTTACTATTGCCTACGAGACACAATTTAGATCACCTCGGAAAGATGGCATGAAACAGAAAATTGTAAATAAATATCGAGTTATTTAGATGAGCTTTGTCTGGTTCAAGTTGTCTCGCTCATTAGCGCCCTTTTCCGAATCGGTCAATTTATAGTCTTGCATCGGCCTTTCTCTCGCTGTTATTAATATGTATTTCGGTATATTTAGACAATTCTAAGACATTTTTCTTCAATGACATTTCCGCCGGAAATTAAGGATAACCGAGATATTAGTTTTTCAATATTATTACATTCACTCAGTCACAAGTTTTGCCATATCCTGGTTACTTTTGGCGGAGTAGTTAGTACTGCAATGGTCTTTATTTTTATATTAAAATAGGTTTTTCCTGTGGGATTTTATGAGTTTCGAACGAATATAATAATAATTTCTGCCCGAAATCACTAGTTTTTTAGACCCCCCCCCCCCATACCCAACAGGCATAATGGAAAAAGTTTATTTTTTTCCAAATAAATCACAGAAATAAAATACCAACCAACCAACAAAACCAAACCTGACCTTACCAATTTGGAGGAGGGTTGGCGGAGCCCCCCTGGACCCCCCTTTGTTCATACCCCCACATCTTACCTTAATCTGAAAAAGAATCAGGTTCATCTGGGTCGTCAATGTCTGAACCTATTAGAAGTGGAGCGCGAGGGTGTGTCAGTCTCCGCCAAAAGTAACCAAGATATGGCGAAACTTGTGACCGAGTGAATGTAATAATATTGAAAAATTAATATCTCAGTTATCCTTAATTTCCGGCAGAAATATCATAGAAGAAAAATATCTTAGAATTGTCTAAATATTACAAAATACATATTAATAACAGCGAGAGAAAGGCCGATGCAAGACTATAACTCTAAACTCACCTAATCTTTACCATATATACTTTAGTACCTGATGCAATACCTGTCCACACTGGTAACTGAATAATGTACACATAAGAGTACTGTACTCTTATTCACGTGCATTGTCATCATATTTCCAAGTTCCTATTCAGCTAAAATACCATCTATCCAGCACCTTATTCTAGCTTAATACACTAAAATCAATATTCCTGGAAATTTTCACATTTAAATTCATACTGCATTAAAAAAAAAGACCATTCCAGGCATTTACCTCATTTTCATCCCCCATAAATATTATAAACACTTGTGTAAACCAACTACAAATGGACTTAGGGTTTACAGGCACTAGCTTGCACTCATGTCAAACGTTATCCATAATAATTAAGACAAGCAAAATCCTTTAAAAAATATCACGTTTTACATTGAAGCATCACAGAATAGAAGATTCATACACTACTTATTATCTTGCTTTTAATATTTGTTATAACTCATTCACTATAATGGAAAAAATCACAAGTCCTTTAACACAGAAATTTCCTTGACGTATTAGTAATGAGTTTTAATGAACCAAGTTTTGTTTTTATCTGAAATCGACATTATTAACGAAAAGAATGTCACAATAATATTTTAAAATATGTAAAAGTTGGCAAAGTGTATTAAATCATGACATAAAAGATATAGATGGTGTATGAATTTTGATTGTGGCGCGCAGGTGGGTGATGAGCGGTCACGCATGCGCACCGCCCGTCAACCCTGGTGCTCGCCCCAGCCCCTCGTGCACAACATCCACTAACACACCACTTTTAACACTTATCACATATCACTTGATGGCTCCACCACTACAGCACGGTAGTGTGTAGCTTTAGTCACACACCTGTGCATCAACACTCGCGAGTAAGTTCCAGTTAACGAGAAATAGTCATATTGGTGGGTCTCTGTCTGTGACCTCCTCAGGCTGGGACACGAACGTTCCGTCTGCGTAAGGATGGCGACCAACAACACCACAGAGAACGGATCTACGCAAGGGTCACTGGGTCCAACATTTTTATTTATTTATAACCTATTTCAAGCTCACAATTTAGCATTTTATCAGATATATCATTTGGGTATTATATTTAGGATCTCTAAATTTGTTAAAATTGCAATTAAGGCTTTTCGAAAGGGCAAGAATCGTTTTTTCTAAATAAAAATAATGCACAAATCAAGGTGCGTATCACGGGCGAAAAAGCGGCAGCAAGTTGTGCTCTTCATACCAGAGAAGTTTAGAGTGTATCTCACCTGATGGTAACATCTGGTGAGATACACCCTACTACGGTGAAAACCAGTCTAGAGGGCATCTCACCTGTATACACTGAATAACGACGTATAATTCTTATTACAAATACGCAATATATTAATTCATATATTTTATGCATAATTGCCACCAATTATCAAATAATTTTGACATTTTAGCTGCTATCTACAATAAACCCATTAAAATTTAACGAAAGGTAAATGAAAAATACTGCAAGAAAAATAAGCGTATAAATACTGTACTGTTCAAACAGGTCAAATTCGTGATACACACACACACACACTTTCAGTCAAGATGTTTGTGTTTTCCCTGGTTCTCCTCTTCGTTATATATATATATATATATATATATATATATATATATATATATATATATATATATATATATATATATATATATATATATATATTCATAGAAATTGACAGAGGCCCAGCCCCCACGGGTCTAGTACAGTGTCAGCATGAACATGATATAGTACGTTGTACGGTAAGGTCACACTGGATATATAAATCAAGTATGGATTGGGAAGCGCCCGACGGCTTTACCATCTTATACTCAACCTCAGTTGTGGAACTGTTGTATAAGAACTGGAGGATCAACCCGGAGGATTGTGAGTTTAATATAGATGGATATAATTCATTTACGAACCTCTCAGACAACCTATGCTAGAGCCAGGCAGGTTAGAGTGCAGGGGGAAGAAACTTTTGAAGACTCGAAATGGTATATAATTAAAATGAAGGGGAGAGACTTACTCTATGCTGGATGCATTAATAGATTCCCGACTTACAGTTTATTAAACCAAAGGAACTTAAGCAACGCAACGGCGCTCAACCCTAATCTAGTCACCTCCTTGTCATGGGGGACTTTAACTATGGTGACATCGACTGGAGAAATGAAACCACTCAAATGATCATGATAATCCCGCTTCTCTTTTTGTAGAAACCCTGGGAGATAATTTTATATTCCAACATGTTTAAGAGCTGACTCACTACAGAGGGGAAGCACCCAAACCGTTGGACCTCATCATAACTAACGAGGAGGTATGGGGTGTCCATGCTGGAACACCAAGCCCCAGTTGGCACCAACCACCACGTAACGTTGTCCTTCAGATTTAACTGTTACTTGGCTCATGACAAAAGCAAGCCGAGGTTCAAACATTACAAGGGCGATTGCGATGAGACGAGGGAGGAGATAAGAGGAATTCACTCACCTGACTCGCTGAGATACAAGAACGCAGACAATACGCTGAATATAATAACCAGTAAAGTGAACTATTTGACTGATAAATATATACCCAAGACCAAATCCAGTGCACCCAGCAACATAAAGAGGCCGCTACACATGAACCAGGCGGCAGTGAACAAAGTTACGAAAAAAAATCTCAGAAATTCATGACAGGATAGGATAAACGATCAGCAAGACATGAGGACGTATGCCAGGAACCAAGGGAAGTCAGAGTGCAGAAGGGCTGTAAAAGGAGTTCCAGAGGCAGATTGCAAGCGAAGCAAAGTCAAACACAAAGGTTTTCTACCGCTACGCAAAATCGATATTAAAAAGGCGTATAGGTGTTGTAGGAGGTTTGTGTTCCAGTCCAGTGATTTTTGGAACTGTGTTGTTCAGTGTTGGGGTTGAACCGAGTCATAGTGCGGGGTGTAACCGTATGGCTGGTCAGTTGGATTCCTTTTTCTGACCCAGTAAGTCACCTTCTACCTGTGAGTATTCCATATTATTTATTATCGTTTTTAGTTTATGGTTCCCATGGTGTCATTTGTGTAATCTGTTTGTTAATTACTATGTATGTACAACTTAGTGTGTATGAATTGTGCAAATATGATAGCATGTTGACCGATCTATTTTAAAACAATTTGAAGCTATTCTAAATGGACTGTATTGTTGCAGCTTTTTATTCATGGTCACTTTGGTGTGAACTGCTGCACTCCTAGCCTTGTATGTCAGCACGCCAGCAGGACACAGTCAGCCCTAGCCTCTGTGCTGTTCCTCCCGGGTCCATTATCAGTACCTGTGCCCGTCAGGAGGATACTTGCTCTCCTGTGAAGTTGTTGAGGAAAAGATACCAATTTACCACCTGTGCAGTGTTGACAGACAAGACCCCACGCTTCACATAATAGTGTCTACACTCCCGACATTTCTTCCGACAGGCAGTCCTGTATTTCCATACCTACATGTTTGTTCATATTTCATGTCTTCATGCCGATCAGTGTAAGTACTTGTAAATACCGGGTAGACATCTTTTGTTACAAATATTCATAATCTTGTTCAATATCGTTGGTGAAAGCGAAAGTATTGCTCCTGGTAGTTATCTTTAAATGAACCAGGGGGCGTTAACATCTAAACCTTCGACAGACGTTGTGACATCAGTAAATGAACACTCACCAACAGTTGACCTTGGACCAGTCTCTCCCGCGGACACTTCAGGATGCTGACCTTGAAATTTTGTAGAGGACAGAATGTATGGTATTGTAGTGGATTCCTCCCCTACAAACGCTGTTGTCGCTGACTAGCCGACCCTCGAATTCACCAGCCAGCGCCTCGTGGTCAGGGTCAGCAACCAGCGCCGCCTTACATGAATGAGGTCAACTATTAAGTCACGCCTGCCTCCGCTATATAAGATCTCACCTCGTGGTGACCTACCTCTTTCTACTTACCGCCACCAGCAAGCAACATCTCTCAACAGCTCCACACCACACGCTCCCTCAGAAAGCTCCTCGCCCGACAGGAACTCTGAGCAAGCTTCGCCTGACCTAGTATCTCTTTAACACTGTGCTGTTCAACAATATATATGCGGGAAACACATTGTGAGTTTCTATTCTACCTCAATCCTGAGTGTTAGATATATTACATGTACGTACGTTGTGAGGACATAAAGAGACTCTGACAACCTGCCACAACAGTAAGCTATAGTATTACTTTAGTTCGGTCATCCGGGGAATCTCAGGAATATAGGTTAGGTTGGATATAGTTCCTGGGTTCTGTAGCTAGTTTAGGTTTCGATATCTAAATGCAGGGATGACCGAAACTAAAATTTAAGCTAATATATAACTTAGGTTCAGATACTGAATGTCAAAATTTGGAACCATTCTGGTGTGACAACCTAGGTAGCTCCCCCCTCCCCCGGCACCTACTAGTGATAATTGACCGGATTTCCTGGCGTGATAAACCTAGCAACCGTCCAGAAAACCACGTGTTTTCCAAAAAACTCACAGGAACATAACCTAGTTTGCGATATTTACTGACCTGGTATGACATGGCCAATGCGTGACTCATGCTCTGAACTTACCACAGATCAGTGCTCCTCGTGGCCTTTGTTCTGCTCAAATTCTTCCTCTACTTTTATCCTCTTCGCCACTGATCGACTCGTTAGCCGCTTGAGCAATGATGTATGCTTCCTGGTATATCTACTAAATCACACTTCATTTGTTCACATATGCTGTCCAACAACTAATAAACGTCCTTTAGCACGAGTGGACAAGATCACCTGCTTCATATATCCTCACTTGAGCTTCTCGATGTACGATGTTTGCCATTCACTCGAGTCACCCCTTTCTTATTCCTCTTTTTTTTTAATATGAATTAACTTACTGTACTTCGGTGATGGAATGCTTGTACTGTGCGGAATATAGATTGTATTCCTTATTTACATAGTGTTTTAGTGCTTTAATTATGGGCATCCCGAGAGCTTTCGCTTGCTTTGAATAAATAGCTTGAACCTCTGAATTATTAACATACATGTGTACAGTACTCTTTGATATAATTAGTACGGCCTGTCGATCATAATTATCTTAAGCTATGAAGATGCGTAGGGTTAAGAAATGTTATTTAACAGACATCGAAAGTTACTAGCATAATTTTTCTGTACGTGTAGTGACATGAGGGAATCACATACACTCAACCCCCCCCCCTCCAAAAGACCAAGATGAGGAAAACAGTACTATATAAAGTGTCTGTTAACGCCTTATCTTCACGGGTATGTTAGTTGTACCTTCTTGATGTACTTGTCACCTCAAATAATATACAGTTTATATTTAAACTCTTCTGTGTGTAACTCTTTGTTGCCAGACAGTCTGAAGAGCCGGTCCGAGTAGTGCCTGTGTGGACACGACGAGAGCATGTTGGTTGTTGAGGACGGGCCAGCTGATTCACTCTCCCCCCCACCCCTCTCACCCCAACACAGGTGCTGTCCAAATAAATACTTCTACTGGTATTTGTGGATTGTGTCTGTCTCTCAACTTTTGCTTCTCTATCTTGCTGTCTGCTTTTCTTTTCCTTGTTCATCTGCTATTCTACCTTTTTCTATTGCCTTACTCTCTCTTTCTTGTTTTCTTTGTCTCCGTCTAATTCCTGCTTTTATCTTTTTCTCCGTGTATGTCTCTCTTACACAAAATTTTAAAACTCAAGTGTACACAATTTCTACAGCCTCGTTGTTCCAAAATTAGCGTAAGCAAACATCACGGTGTTACATGAACACAAATATTGCAATCTACTAAAACATACATAAACTAACAGAAGGTCTGTCAGTTTATTTGTGTTTTTATTGGGGTGTAGGAGGCTCTGCTGCACACCAACAAATATTAGCGTACACAAAATTACTCAAATCGCAGTAGTCTGCTGAAAGCGATTTTTTTTAAACGCGATGTTTATAGCAGAAAATTCTTCTATAGAATAGTATATGAATTTATT